AGAGAGGAACATGTCACAGTTTCAGTTTTATAAACATCCTCCGTAACTATTTGAGGTCTTGATGTGCTTACACACATACGAGTGCAAGTTTCAATTTCACACAAATCAGCAATAGCTTCTTCTGCCATTTTCAATTCACCGGTGGCATTCTGTAAAACTTCTTCAGCTTCAACTAGTTCAGACTCTAGTCTGTTTTTACTACTTAGTCTTTGTTTATATTCTTGTTCAGCAATAGTGAATTGACTTTGTGCATCTCCTAAAGCTGTAGCTGCAGCCATTACTCCATCACTAGCAGCACTGACCTCATCATTAGCAGTTCCAAGTCTCATTCTGGCTCTATTTGCTATGTTTCTCAGATGCTGTCTAATGCTCCCTTCCAACCTAACAAGGAATCTATCATCAGAACGTGGAAACCAACCGTCAATTGAAATCATCATTTGTTTCCATGAAGTGGTTGTTGGTGAAGCTCCTTTAAGTTCTGCAAGGTAAAATTCATTGTTGAATATTACAGTTGAGCCAGTAAAGGAGAGTTCTTTGTCTCTTAAGATGATAGGAGACTCAAAAATCCCATCAAGGACTGCAATTTCAACAGAATGAAGGAGTCCAACCTTTTCATTAGCAAAGCCTGAGAAACCTAATGAGACTGTAATCCTGTCTTTTCCAGGTTGGAGCTTGAAAAGTGGATTCAGTTGATAATATGACAAGTGGCTAGGAAAGAGAGATGACTGTACCCATAACCCAAATGAAGAAGGAGTAGGAAAATAGTTTGTGAAATCACGAGGATCAATACATAATGTATTGGAATCCATTGGTATGTAGAACTTGTGTGATAGCATACCTAAAACCAGTGAGTCATAAACTAGCTCTAAGCAGTTTGAATAAAAACTGAGACCATTCATTTCTTGAAGAGAATTAAGGTTCATAAACATATCTATTGGACAGTGGGAAGTATCATATGGTAGTTGAAAAAAATTGAAGAAAAACCCATCTGTTGATTCGACCCTGTAAGAGAGTTTAAAAGATATTCCAGATGGGATTGCTCCAGTTGAACAGCTGAATGTAACAGGATCTAGTTAAAGAAGAAAGACACTTGATAGTCAGTTTGTATTATGAATGCACCTGTAGTTTGTACTATAAGAATATTTATCATAATCAGCTCCATAGCACAAGGGGATCAATTTGGCTCCAAATTTGTAATAATAATTTGGGGTGACTTTAAAGCCATTTTAAAGAAAAACTATGGGCTACCTTTGCTTCTTTCAATAATTGGCTAATTTTTCAAGTGGTCATAACTCAAAAAATATTTGTAAAAATCAGTTGTAACTTTCTACACAGCACAGGAGTTATGCATCAGGAATTGTAATGAAAATTTGAAGTAATTTTGAAGCCTTTTATAAATAAACCTAGGGGCTATAGCTTTTACTTTTTTCCAAAAATTGGTTGATTTTAGAAAATTGCTTCAATGAGATCAAAAATGTTTTTAATCAACATCTGCTCAAAGTTTTTACAAAGAATAAGGGCATCACTATTCATCAGAAAATGTAATAAAAATTTGGGATAAGTTTCAAACCATTTTTTGAAAAAACTATGGGCTAACCAGCTAATTTTTTTAAAGCCAGGGCTATAGCCAATGTTTTTTCTTCAAAATTGACTCGCTCTAAAATGCTTGAAACTCAAACATTATTTGTTAAAAACAGCTCAAACAATTAAAACTAGCACTATTATAATTAAGACAGAAAATATAATACGGACTACAATGTGTACCTTGGAAGTGAATGAATGCTGAAGATGATACATTTTGAAGTGAAAGAGATTCATGCTTTCCATGAAGTTTTGTTGTCACTTTCAGAGAATACTCACCAAATGATAGCATGTCATCAGCCTATAGTAAGCAAAAAATAATTAAATACACAATGTTATACACAAAAAACTTACATCACTTCTTTTCAAGGTATACTTGTATGATACATTACCATCAAAACTAAATGAGACGTTTGTCTCTCCATAACTAAACAAACCAGTTGATGCCATTTTTATTTTCACGTCAGATTCTTGCATAGGTAACTCGTAATTATGAGTCAGTCCATTCCAATAATAGAATGTTGGAACATCATTAATCTTCACAAAATTTTCCCAAAATATAAAGCTCTGCATTTTAAAGCTCCATCCTTTTCTAATAAATTTATTTAAAAAGCTAATCCTCACAATATCTTTTTGTATCAATTGAGGAACAGAAAGATAGAGTGGAGATGCATCCCCAGAGCATAAATCAACAGCAATACAGTAGAATGATCCTTTATTTGGAGCAGATAGGGACTGTTGTTCAGTGTTTAGTGTTGATGTACTTATGTCTATACCCAGTGGCCCATTATGAAGCAGTACACTAAATTGCCCAGTCTTATCAAGAAGGAGAGATTCACACCCAACTAGTTGAAGTACTTCAGTTTCAGACGCAATTGATACACGGTAATCAGCTTCAACCAGCTTCTTAAGTGCATTACTGTCATCTGGTACAATCAATTTCAGCCACTTTGGCAGTAGTTTTAACTGTGCTTCAGCAAGGAAAGTTTCAGTTAGTGACTGTTTTGATGCAAATTCACTCAAATCCTCAGTTGTAGGCATATATTCATAGCACTTCTCATCATCAGAGAGTTCTTTTAAAACACCATTGCAATGTCTTTCACATTTTTGAAACTGTTTGGTAGCTGGTACATTAAGAGAAAGCGAAGAATCTCTTTTTGACATTTCTATCCCAGCAACAGAAACAGGTAAAGACAAGTTGTTATAATTAGAAAATATGATTCCACTAGTCTTCCAACCACTGGATCCCAAAGACTCCCAAGAGCAAGAAGATGTAAACTGAACACTAGCTCGTGGATTTGACTCACATTTTAAAAGAGGCATCTGTGATTCTTCAAGTTCACAGCAGCTATTGTATACATATGGACTGTCTAATTTTGTGAAATAATAAGGGCTTCGTCCACTTCTGACAATGACTGCCACAGGTGGTGGGACTTCAAAGTCGGTTGCACTGGGTCCTTTTACATTAAAATTCAAATAATATATTCCTGGAAAACCACCAATTATAGTAGAAGTAGCTGTTGTTGATGATGGTCCAAATTTAACCTGACAAGGCTGAACAAACAGTCCACCACCACCAGATGTACAAGATTCACGTAAAGCTAATGTAAATGTTTCGTTAGGTACAGCTGTCGTTATTTGTAAATCAAAAGTTTCACGAAACGACAATTCTCCAATATCAGGAACAAGAATGAGACCACGATGGCATCTCTCACCAGTGTAAAGTGTTCCAGTGCAATCACAACGAAATTCAGATTGACTAACTTCAATGCACTTCCCATGAACACAAGTATTATTATCACATACTGGTCTCCCTATAATAACCAAAATATGCATTACCTTACGGTATAGCTGGTTTATTTTCTGTGAAATTAATTTTCATGCAGGCTCAAAATCCACTAAAATACATTCCACTAAATTCTATTAGCATCAAATAAAATTTAAAAAAATTTGTCAACCATCAAATTAATTACAATGAAAATTTGAGGCCACAAAATAAACCAGTAATAGGACATTATTTTTACTTACTTTGACAAGTACCAAACTCAGTCCACTCTACATTATTCTTGTCAGCAGTCAATTCACAATTAAATGATGTGCTTCCATTTGCTGCTTCAAATCCATAGACACACTGCAATGAGCATGTTGATCCATAAGTTTCAGGACAAGGTGATCTAATGTATCCATTTTTAGGTTGTTCCAATTCTGGACACTTCATTGGTGTACATCTAGCAGGAGGAGATGTCCATGAGCCATTAGGTTGACAGGTACGTTCTGCTGGTCCAGTGAGTTCATATCCTGCATCACATGATGTATCACATGATGTGTTCGTCACTTGACCATTTGGACAAGATAAGTTGCCATTTAATGGCACTGTTAGTGTTGGTGAACACTCTTGAACTACACATGCATGAAAAAAATAACACTAAAATAAAGTCTAAACTATGTAAAAATTACGTTTGCAGGAGATAAGATCATTGTTTAGAATATAACCAAGGACACAGTTACATTTATAACTTCCAGGCAAGTTGTCACATACTTGTTGGCAGCCATGATCACTAAGGCATTCATCAATATCTACATATGTACCGTCATAATTATTGTTATGCCATTATTATTAAATTAAATCTGGCTAACCTTGGCAAATATGTGTACCTAGCAATTGATAACCAGCTGAACATGAACAGAAGTAGCTTCCAACTGTGTTATTACATATCTGAGAGCAAGCTCCATTTTGAAAGGAACATTCATCAATATCTGATTGTGAGTCAAAATCAATGTAAATACTTATTCCTATACCTGTACAAGCTTCTTGTGGACTTTTATTATCATATCCCTCATTACATTGACATCTAAAGCTCCCAATTGTATTGACACAGAAGTTATTGCTGGCAATAGAGCAGTTGTGAGTTCCTTCAATACATTCATTAATATCTAGACAAATTATTAGAAATCAAATGATATGCTAATTAATTCAAAAATTAGAATTTGTGCAACAGTACATGCTCTAATGCAAGAATATCTTACCAATGCAAGAAGAATTATCAGTATTTAAACTATATCCAGTCTGGCAGGTACAATGATAGCTCCCATTTGTATTCACACAAATTTGTTGACAACCACCATTCCCACTACTGCATTCATCAATGTCTATAAGTTAAGAAACATTATAATAGTTATACCATAGCAGATTTATCGTGAGATTAAAATTTGGTAAACAGCAAATTTGAAAATAATTCAACACATCTATTTTGATGAAATTTAATGCACCTTTACCAAATTTTCCTGCTATGAGGTATTATACACAAGGTAACATATACAACTTATACTTACCATGACATTTGTGTGGATCAGTTGCATCTTTCAAGTAACCAGAAGGACAAGAACAGTAGTAATTACCAACAGTATTATGACAGTAGATATCATCTAGACAAGTATTACTCCCATCAGTGCACTCATTTGAATCTTTTAAAATTAAAATGAGAGAAATTATTTAAAATAGTTTATCTTACCAACACAAGTAAAACCATTAGTATCAAGCTCATAACCTGACTGACACTGACATTCATATGAACCATTTGTGTTCACACACTCTGCAAGATCATGACAAAGTTTTGTACCAGACAAGCATTCATTAATATCTGTAATTAATGTGATGAGGACATAAGCAATGACACTAACTAGTAACATCTAACCATTGTCACATGTTTCTCCAGTCCATCCAGCATTACATGTACAATAATTACTTCCAGTTGTTTCATTAAAAGCACACCTTCCATTAATACATTGTGGATTACATATTGCTGTAATAATGCATGCATGATTATAAATCAGTTATTTATAAGCATACGTTCACAATTTGGATATATTCCAGTAAACTGAGAGCAACAAGATGCAATCAACCGTGTTGCTAATTTTTTTTTGTAGCCGGTAAAGTAGCAAGTATAACCTCTGCCAAAAAGCACTCATAAATATCATGTATATAGTTTTTGTAATGTTTACCTATTTTTGCTGCAATATACCAAACGTACGCCTCTCCATCTCACTCTAATGATGCATACATATGTTGTAGAAGTATAACAAGTTTTTTCTGCTCTATAAGCTTCAGAAATATAATATGATTGAGTTTCGTAGCACCTAGAGTGAAAAATATATACATTAACAATGAATTTAAATTTTACACTGGTATTGCTAATCCATCTTGTAAAAGTAACAAAAGTAGTGAAACTGCAGCCACTTGATACACATTGACAAATTTATTTGGAAAAACACTCATCTTGTTCACCAGTTTACAGTCTGTATTTTCTGAAGTGCATGTGTACTTATATTCTATGGCAAAAATATACAAACATCTGCAAACAGATTGGGTTTAAATAAACAGCCTTTTTTCAATGCTATCACAACTGCAATGCATATTATTGGACACAGCTGTTTATTGTATTTGTACAGTTATATTCAAAAATAATGTTCCAAAATTTTGTCATAAACAATGAACTGATAAAATCAATAAACAACAGTTGTCTACATGACTTTTTGAGATTGTATTTCACTCTATGAATATTTAGGACTAAATTTAACAGACATTAAAGCATCTAAGAATAATTTTGGAGAGAATTAGAAGGATCAGTGTTTAATTTATATTTACTGAACCACAAATATATTAAAATAGGAATATCTTTAGTATTAGTCACAAGTATCATTATGATAATTTTCAAAAGTTTCTGGTAAAACAGCAGCAATTAACGGTCATCTTCATGTACATGTGATGTAACAATCAAGTTACATCACACTGTACATTCATGACACTCTTCAATGAAGAAATACTAATGACACCTAATAAAAAAGTTTACAAAAGGAATTAATTGAAGTCTTTGAAATAAATGAAATCATCACTGCTAAGGGAGCTTGTTCTTATTATTTGGTAAAGCTTTGGCACAAAATTCAATACATTAATCTTCTTAGCATATACGACATAAAATGTGACTGTTACGATAACTTGTCATGCTATCCATACCATTCCTCTTGGTCAGTACACAAGTAAAAAGAGGGACTGGTAATGTGAGATGCACTAGCTACATGTATTTTAGCACTGATGTAACATGCATTTCCAGTAGTTGCCTACTTCTGTTATTTCAAAGCTATATGTATCTAAAAATTTACAGTGAATTACTTTCCAAAAAATTACTAAACAAACGAGACACCTACGGTGCGTGGCCTCGCCCCTATAGCTGTTTGGTTATCAAAATTAAAAGAACTTTAACATGCAAATTACATATATACAAAGCAAGTGTACTCCTGAGGGATAGCAGCTAGCTTGCAGAAGTAGCAGCATGCAAGCTAATCCAGCTACTCCCAAATTGGAGGTGTGGCATGACATCATCAACTATTAATTAATTATTTGATGGCAGCAAGCCCTAGCTGCAACAAGAAGGAAGTTTCAGATTTTTCTCTTCTTATAAGTGCTATATGACATTATAATGGCACAAATACTGTTGCCTAGATGTAAATTGAGTGATTTGAGAGAGTTTAGGACCTTTAGACTACCTACAGTTTACTCGGGTTGAAATTCAAGAAGCTGTAACTCACCAACAAGAAAGATTTAAAGAGTCCCACACATATTAAAACAATAACTAGTCTTGATCTACTGGAAAAGAGTCTCATTTACCTCCAGAGTACTACCGCTATTGCTGGGCATTTTCTCATGAGATAAAAAGCTTCTACTAGCTAGAGCTCACTGAGTGCTCTCTAAACATCTCAAGGCAGTAAAGCAAGACTTTTCCTAACAGAAGAGAAGCTCTCACAGATTTAGAGCACGCAATTATAAAGATATACATTCTCAAAGACAAAAGAGAGCACGAATGAAACACAGACAGACAAACTGAGTACCTAGTCCTCGCCTACGCAAAGCTGGGCGAGGCCAACTATGCAAACTAACTATGCTATAGAAATGCCCAACATGCATCATATGTGATACAGACTGACTGTAGCCTATACGATACAATAAAAATGTACACATACACATTAGACAATTTTTTAAATCCAACGAAATATGGAGCCATTTCTGACTAATTTTGGCCTATGACCATTATAGTCTAGTACAGGGTCTTCTGGCCCAAAAATCTAATTTTGATCAAAATCACCTCAAACTTTCTAATTTAGTCTACTAGTATACATAATGCCAACACCACACTAGCATGCAAATTAAATCAGAGTCATGTTCAGCCTAATTAACTCACATGTTTGCATAAATTTATAGATCCATTCGGCCTTGTGTTGCATGAAACCTATATTAAATTACTAGTAATTTTAATCATTCTGAAAGTCAAATATATCTACTAACGTCTTGCAAATTAAGGCCAGGCTAGGAGCCTAGGATTGGGAGAAGAATTTAACTCAGTTTGATGAGTCAGGTGGGTGGGGTGAAGACGCGGGTGAAGATTAAGTCCAGGCTAAGCTGTAGGATGAAATGATCACATCCAAAAGGAACATTAACGATAGGAGAAGAAGAGGAGGACTAGTCTCGCGTAGCCAGCCCCTCCCTCCGTGCCTAGAGGAGGACTAGGACCATAGGCGTGCAGAGGGGGGGCGATGGGGGCGAACGCCCCCCCCCCCTCCCCCAGCTAGAACTTGACTTTTATTTTTAACTCTTTACTCTCTCACTCTCTAAATTTTAACCCTCACAAGGTCATTATTGTTGTAATGGATATCAGACAGTTTTTCACCTCACGGGCAGAAGCCGGCAGTAATGGAGTTCAGGATAATGCCACTGATACAGTCACGGGTTCTCTAGGTCCAACCAGCCCGGAAACCTTTACAGAAGTGACCACCTCTAGTAAAAACTAAAAACCCTTCCCGGAGGCACGGAGGGCGGG